TCTAACCGAGAAGCCGGTAGCAGATCGGTGACCTGGAAACAGCTGCTACTGTATTGTGCTTTGAGATGGTCATGCTAATTTGTACGAGATTTACGGTCATTCTGTTTAATGTATTCCTTTCATAGCTATTGCTTTGACACTCCTGTTGGCTGACTAGTTCAGTGCAAGTTATGACCCTTAAATTTAAATTTTCGTTCGTTGGTCAGAAGAACTATGCGATTAATAAAAATGGGTCCTAAGTTTATCAGCTGAGATTAGATATGAAAGGTGATAGACAAGCCTAAACAGTATGAAATCTTTACGTGATTATGTTTTAGGGCACTGATTGGGAAAATCTGAGGCATCAGAAGGCTCCGTATCGGCCTGAAATACTGCACGCCACTGACACGTCAAACTTTGATCCTGTTGAACCTCGCCCAGAAGTATCAAGCTTGGAAGAGCTGTCACCCGTTTCAGATCACGCCTTTTACGAGTTTACGTTTCGCCGATTTTTCGACAGTGATGGCCACGGCTGCCCGACGTTGCGGTCAGCTGCGCCAAAGACTCGTAATCATGTTTACTTAAATGGCAATGTGAACACTATGTTTACTGATAGAAAAATTGTTTGAAAGCAAGCGATATTTTCGAGAAATACTTATATATATACTACGGATAATATCTATTGCTCTGTCGTCAGAACGTCTGACTGGTTAACGAAAACCGTCGCTTGTTCGCACTGACAGTCAGATAGCAGTTCAAACCTTGTATGAAGACTTGTCGGTTCAGACTGGACTGCCCGTATCGGTCGACAACTATTCGCATCAAAAACACTGCAGTTCGGTAAATGCCACTCCGTTCATATGCTAGACGACTTGAAAAAATCACGTTCTCCGAGACCGATGCGATCGGCCTCCAGTTTTTATCCGTCCAAGCCTGTAGAGGCATTTTTGTCGATAGATCCAGCGTATATCCAGGCATGGAAGAATCCGTCTGTCACTCAGCCACCATTGGTTCCTAAACCTAACTCACTGCCTAACTTTCATAACTTGTGTGAGAAATGCCGATTCTTGTCTACTATCGTCACTAGGGATTATATTCTGAAATCCTTTGCCATTTCGTGCAATTCCATCTTCTTGTCGTTGGCCGCTGTAAATTAAATGAACGTATGGTTGAATGGCAGAAAACCTGCTGTTTGCCAAAAGCAAATGACAACAAAGCAGAAGCTTGAACCGACAGAAACGTACAGGGCAACCAGGCAATGTGGCAGTGAAAATTGCGCAGTACAACCAGACATCGATTTTGAAAAATCGACCAAATATTTTGGCGGTAAGTCGTTTCGACTTCCTACTACCGTAAAGTGTTATATCTGGCGCACCAATCCAAATTCGACGTTATTGTTTAACTTTCTTTTCTTGTGACAGAATCCATGCTGACAATATTGCACGGTTGACGTTTTTTGAGATGCAGAATTTCCTGTTTTGTGATACTAGTACTAATGTATTAATAGAATCCTATAAATATCTAGACGATTGTTCACATACGTTAAGTTTGGTGTTACCCTACACTTCATTTGTAAATCTTCTGACATTCTGCCGTTTAACTCAGTTGCTTTCACACATCAGCGTAAATTTTTAATGTTATAACCTTTATGGTTTTATGCAGGGGGACACGCAGCCAGTTTGTCATACAAGTTTAATCGTCTAATCCGAGAGACTAAGGATGTGATTCATCAGGTAAACCGTGGTGATGGTAACTTCAGTTACTTCGGTCAGACACGTAGGTAACTCAGTCAAACCTGAGGACCATTAAGAGCTATTTGAATTGACCACGACTGACATGAATTTAATTGTCATTGCCACTGAAAACTGTCGTGACGTAAGCATTTGCGATGTTAACTTTACAGGTATGATGATAAAATGAAGCTGCTGATAAAGAAATGCTTACATATTTCCGCTAACGAATGCGGTGCATGTGATGAATGTCAGGCTTCATATTATATATCTACGGTATGGGGTATCCATTGTTTTTTGCTTCATGTAATCTTGTTTTTGCTGCTGATGTGCCATCGTAAAATTACTATTGTATGTTAATGACGATCGCTGTGCGCTCGAATGAAACGTTGGTCCGCTAAGTAAAATTGCTTTTCCGCATCGCTAACTACTGAATGGGAAAACGGCCATCTGCAAATTTTTCGTAATTACTCCACGAATCTGTTCTTTTGAAAGTTTTGAATCCACTTTTGTTTATTACAAATAATAGCCAGAACGAAGGCATTTCTGTAGAGCGGTAGCAATATGCGGTCCATCTGCTCATCGAATACTGGTTTAATTGAAACTTTTACGACAATACAGTTCATCGCAGAAGCAGGCCTTTAGCAAACATGCCTTATGTTTACGTACCTTAGATAGGCAGTAAGTACTAGGGTGTCAAGTGATTACCTCCGGTTTATCATGCAATACCTTGATTGAACTGAATTATTAAATCGCTTATTGCTGGAAGCGCTAATTCAGAATCTGCGTTTACGTCTGAACCAAAGGCAGGAAAGTGGGTAGGAGGTTTACTCGATTAGCGAACCCGTGTTAAAGAG